TGAGGAATTAAATTTTTGGCCTTTTTTTATATCTCTCCTGTATACTACGACCTACCAGCATACCTATAACATTCTGTGAATTACTTTAATTTAATTTTAGCTTAATTAAAAATTCTATCCTTTCCTCCGCATTTCGTTAATATGGTTGTATTTAAAACAAAATTAGGGTCTAAGTTTCGTCTTTTTCAACGAAACTCTTTCTCCACCGAATATTGTTTTTCTTTCTGAACGTAAAACAATACACATACCTACCAGCATATTTATAACATTCTGCGAATTACTTTAATTTAATTTCATTTTAGCTTACTTATTTACATAGCTTGACAGTTTAAATAATTTTATAGAATAGTTGGTTTAAAAAAAAATCTTTTAGCTATTTAACAGTTAAGAGCTGTGTTGGGTATCTTTTTAATTATACATTTACTAGTATTATTGTTATGTAAATAATCACTTTGCCCTTTCACATGTGTTCTTTAACATTCAGGTTAAAGTCAGTTCTTTAACAATGTATTGTTAACCTTTATTAAAATCAGACTTCAGTATATAAATACTTTTTATTTTCATGTTGAACCAACACTGGATCATCTACACTCGCTGGTTTTGTACTCAAAGATGTACTGACAACTCCTCACTGAAGATGGTGGGAAGTTGAAACATGTTTGAGTAACAATAAAACCCATGAGAGTAGACAGACCCAATGTTCTCCAACTCACAGGCCCACCATCAATTTTTATTTTCAAACACTTTTTTTTTAGTCCTAACATTCCTAGAATAAACAATTTGAGGTAGGGGTACAAAATACTGTATTAAGAAAGTGGCATTTGTCACTTTCGGATGTACTATACTATACACAACTGATTGTTGATGATTAAATTTATTGTTCTATTCTTATTTTTTAACTTATACTTTTTTTTATAAAAATGGTTCACAATTTAAAGTGAAAGTATTGTAATACCACATACATAACACACATATATTGCAATTTCACAAAAACTCTTGTTAAAATTACCATAATCAACCTCCAATAGAAGGTTTTTGGTGTTTAAAACTCATTACTACAGTGAAGAAATGTAAGTATAATATTGTCATTATGTGAATATTTTCAAATTAATATATATATGTAATGCGTATATGTACTTTACTTTCTGTCGTTAAAAATGTGTACAACAAGGAATGATAATTGTTTATACTTCATAAAAGTCAAAGCATTTTTGGTTTTGTATCACTGTTTCCTTGAAATTTTAACTCATTGATAATTCACATCTCATTTCTATTATATGTGTTATACTGTAACTAAGACAAAATCCTACAAAATTATGTACAATACATTAATTATTCATTAACTAAAATAAAAAAATTTAAAAAGGCAATCAATCATATTTTGTGATAGCACATGACGAAATAAGAATGTTATTGTATTGTACTTTATGCATTTGCATATAAATAATGTATGAAGTTTGCGTATTATGAAGATTATTAAGAAATAACGATATAAAGGGTTGAGGAACAGAAAGCCCTTAGATTAGTCAACTTTTACCAATACGATAATGTACAAATCTTTGGTTAAACCTGTTATAGTTAATGTAAGTGTATATGTAACATTTAGTGTAATGAAATTATATTGTTGTGTTGAGCTTTACCATTCTTACTAACCTTTACTCCTTTATAATGCATGAAAGAAATCAGATCGTCGTTCTGAAGAAAATTATCAAGATTGATGTCAAAGGGGTACGCTATATTTTATAAATGTATTATATGTTTTATAATTTCACAGTTTAAACACATTTATCCTTATCTTATAAAATTATCTTCGCATCAAAACTCAAACATAGCTGCCTCAAACATTCATGCCCATCCAACAAAGGGCCAAAAGATGGAGAATAAAAATTAATGGAAAAAAAATGTATCCACATCTTTACCTTCTGCTATGCAACATGTCCAATACTCTATTTTAGTGACATACCTATCCTGATTCCTGACCACAGGCATAGTGAAATATCAAGGTATGTTCTCAATAAAGGACTGTCATGGAACCCGCACTATTCAGAAAAGACAGGAACTTAACAAACAATACAAACTTCTTTGCGTAGGTATACTAGTCAAACGAACAAAATTTTCACACTGTTGATTTGTTGCGTTGATGCAAAATTAATGCAGGCTTTGAAAATTTGTTTTATTTTTGCAGGTGCTTGTCATCTAAACAAAGTTAAATCCTCAAATCTAATTTATGGATTCTAATATATCCTTTTAACCGTTATCTTTTATACAAAACATTTTAAACAACAATTTTATAAGAATGAGGACCTGTGAAATTAAATTTAAATTAAATTAAATACGTGGCCCAAGCCGCACGTAACATCAATACAGTTTGAAGGGAGGGAAACATTAGAGAATGTACAGTGCAGCGATGATGGTTTCAGAGATTTCATCATGGAGATTTCGATCTCGATTACAGGGAAGGTCGTGGTAGGCCTTCCGTTGTGGACAGCAAGCAACTCGAAATGTTGATTGAAGAAAATTCACATAAGACAACACAGGTATTTGCAGAAGAACTTAGTTCTGAACCCTAAACTGTTGTTCGCCATCTGGAACAAATTGGTAAAATAAAGAAGCTCAACAAGTGGGTGAACTAACAACCCACAAACTAACCCCAAAGAAATCGACAATTTGCATATCTTTTCAGTTATGCCACCAAAATAATCCATTTCATTACCACGTGCAATGAGAAATGGATTCTGTATGATAACAGGAGGCGTATATGTCAGGGGTTGGACAAGGAGGAAGCCCCACAACCCTTCCCAAATTCAAAACTGCACCCAAAACAAGTTATGGTTGAAGTTAAGGTGACTGCTGGTGTGCTGCTGGGGTTGGTTGTTCACTACAATTTGCTGAATTATGGTGAAACTATCACAGCAGAGAAATTTTGCCAAGAAATTGTCAAACTGCATAGGAAACTGCGTCTTTGTCCATCATTCGTAAGGAGCCAATTCTTCTTCACAATAATGCAGTCACAATGCCAAACGTGCAGAAACTTAAGGACTTAGGACATGAAACTTTACCGCACTCTCCATATTCACCGTCCTCTCGCCTACAGACTTCCACTTTTTTTAGGCATTTTGATCACTTCTCAATTTTCAATTCAATTTTTTAGAGAATGCAGTGAAGCCGAAAATGCCTCCCAAGACTCCATTGTGAGTCAAAACATGATTTTTACGTCAGCGGAATAAAAGTGCTTATTACGCGTTGGTAAAGATGTATAGAATGTAGAGGAAAATATTTCCAATAAATATCTTACAATTAATTAAGGTTTTCAGTTGAGATAAAAAAGTCAGTGTCACAAGCGGGATTCGAACCCACGATCTTCGGCTTGATACGCCGCTGCTCTACCACTTGAGCTATCGTGACCTCGATCCACTCGGACACCAACTTCCCATCTCAACCACACCTTTTGAATTTTCCCTCCTTTGATTGATTGTAAAGATTGATACACGAAATCAGTTTGAAGTAGCAACAGGCCAAAGTCGCTAACTCGCAACTCTCGACTCAACCGAGGCTTCAATTTGGATAAATCGAAAAAAAAAAAGATACTTTTCAAATGTTTTTTAAGACGTTTGATATTTCCTTAGTTTCGTGGGTTCGAATCCCGCTCGTGCCATTGATTTTTTTATCTCAACTGAAAACCTTAATTAATTGCAAGATATTAATTGGTCAAGCGGACCACGAAACTAGTGAATTTCCAATAAACTTTCTTTCTATAAAAATTAAAAATAGTTTTGGCTGCCTTTTCCAAACCTGCATAATTTTTGCACCAGCCCAATATAATACAGTACAAATGTGTGGTGTTTAGTGACCGTTACTCAATGATTATTTGGATGCCACACTGGGGCCCTCTCAACACGACAGACAGTAATGACACATCTACACGCAAAACAAACACTTTGAGCCCTGAAGATGAGTCTCAATAAAGATCAGAAGAAACGTCACACGAACCGCATCTCACGACCTCCAAATAATCATAATACAGTACTTTGACTTACCTGAACCTATGGAGTAGTATGGTAGCAGCAAACATGCATATATAAATATTTTGTTGGAATAACACAATTGTCTATTGTGGAGATCAAATGAACTAATTTTGATTGTAGTTATCCCATCTGAACCAAAAATATTACATTTACTTTCATGTGAGAAGTTTGTCACAGAAGCAATTGCCCTTTGTGCTTTTAGTAAAGTATATACATTTAATTTTTTTAAACTAATGTAAAGTTTTTCCTCACTTCATTTTCATGATAGTCGCTATCTCTCCTCCTCCTTAGTGTCAGCACATCTTGATGATCTCTTTCAATTTATCCAACAATTGTGAGGGTGCTTAACATGGTATTGATTTAACTTTTTATTGATTTAATTACATAACTAGGAAAGTATAAATTGGCAAATTTTGGCTGAAAATTCTAACAAAAACTGTTCAATGAATACACTAAAAAATAAGTGTATTGTCGACTTCATTTGAAGCACATTTACAACAACATATGAACGTTTATTTTTATTACAATTAATTAAGGTTGAGCTAAAAAAGTCAATGGCATGAGCGGGATTCGAACCCACGCTCTTCGGCTAGATAGCCGCTACTCAACCACTTGAGCTATCGTGATCTCGATCCACACAGACACCAACTTCCCATCTCAACCGCACCTTTTGAATTTTCCTCCTTTTGGCCGGGGTTGAGATGGGAAGTTGGTGTCCGAGTAGATCGAGGTCACTATACCTCAAATGGTAGAGCAGCAGCGTATCTAGCCGAAGATCGTGGGTTCGAATCCCGCTCGTGCCATTGACTTTTTTAGCTCAACTAAAAACCTTAATTAATTGAAAGATATTAATTGGTCAAGCGGACCACGAAATTAGTGAACTTTATTTTTATGTTTATTTTTAACTTATAAAACTTAAAACAGGAACTTTATAAAACTTAAAATTGGAATTTAGGCTCAATAAAAACAGTTAACTGCAACAACACAAAAATTATCTTTTTTTATTATAATAAATATATTTATCGATTTTTTGTCTTCCTTGCTGAATAGTAACTATTTACACATTTTTCATTCAACATTAATTGGTATCTTTTTTTTTAATTATTTGTTTTGTTTTTTTTTATAAAAATTGTATCAATACTAAATGCATTACAATAGAATAAAAAACAAAACAATGCAAGTAAACGACAAATGAGAACCAAGATACATAACTTTGGTTTAATAACTGTTAAAAATTTCCCTTAGTACCAAATGATCAGAATATATTTATACAAAAACGAGTCTGTACAATTAAATTACTTATAAAAAAAACTAACGCGGTGAAGGCTCGTTTGAATCATAAGGTGATGTGGGAGAATACACTGCTGGGGAATGAGAATATTGGCCGCTTTGCCCAGTCTGAGAATAGGGGGCTGGCGAAGTGGGAGAATAATTTGAACTGTATGCTGGGGTGGTTGGCGAAGTAGGAGAATAGCGGGATGAATTCGGTGAGTATTGAGCACTGGATTGGGTATATGGTGAAGTTGGAGAATATTTCGTAGAAGAAAATTGTGTTGGTGATGAAGGTGAATAAACTTGAGGTGATACAGAATATGAAGAATTGGCAGGAGATGTGGAACAATAGCTAGGAGAGGTTGGAGAATAACTCTGATTGCTTTGTAATTGTTGGGGACTGCTGTTGCTGCCGTAGCTTGGAGATGTTGGTGAATATGACATCGGAGACGTGGGAGAATAATGTGGAGAATAAGAATTAACAGAATATGATGGCGATGGGGAATATGTAGACCCTGAAGGAAAAGAGGGCGAATTTGGGGAATAGTTAGAACTGGCAGGAGATAGCGAATAATTGGTAGAAGTCGCCGCTCCCATTGAGCGTGAAGTAGGGGAATAATTGGTTTGTGGTGGTGAATATACAGATGGGGGGGAGTACAAAGGAGATGGAGAATAACCTCTCGAATTTGAAGTAAAAGATGGAGAGATAGGATAACTGGGAGATGTCGAGGAATAAGAAGGTGATGTTGGTGAATAAGAAGGAGATGTAGGAGAGTACAAAGAACTTGCTGGAGAGTAAGAAGGAGATGCTGGAGTGTATGAGGGCGATGAAGAACCTGCATAAACAGGTGACGTTGGAGAATATTGAGACGAAGGGGAAGAAGGCGACTGAGGGGCAAAGCTATGGCTCTGAGGGGAATAACTTGGTGAAGTTCCTCCTGGTGAAGCCAAATAAGGCATTGGAGATCTTGGACTCGAATCACCGTCAGCCCTACCAGGACTCCATGGTGAAGCTCCACCAGCATCACTTGCTCCAGATGGGGAGAAATGTGCATAATCTGAAGAGAAACAAAATTAATATTAGTTGTGCTGTTTAAAAAAAATTAATTTAATATACATAATAACAACACATACCTCTGGTTGGAGACCAAGAACTTGGTTGACTGGCATAAGCGGACATAGGTGTAGACCCACTTGCCCAAGGAGTGCTTGGCGGAGACGTCATTGGAGTAGTAGCATTTCCATAGAACATACCTGCTCCTGCTAATGCGCCAACACCAGTCGGCATTTCTATGCCTTCCTTACATTTTTCAGCATCAAGTAAGAGATCAAAACAGCCTGTAATCAAAGTTTTAAATCACAACCATTGTTTCAAACAAGGATTTAAATTTGCATACCTGTTCCCATCCTAGGTAATTGTCCCATAATAATATTTTCAGAAACACCTCTCATAGGATCGACTTCAGCATGGGAAGCTGCATCCATGAGGACATCAACAGTTTCTTCAAAAGAACACCTATTGATCAAAGTACACCATGTTAGTATTTAATGTATAGAAATATAAATTTCAATAAATTGTTTACCTCATAAGGGCACCAGTGTCCTGTCTATTGATTCCGTGACGAGTGATGGCCATTAGATGGCCTTTAGCTGTCATTACATCACAAAGTAAAGCCAAGTGTCGATAATTTACATAAAGACCATAAAATTGAAGTACAGCATTCATTTCCTTCTCTACTGATTTACGAACAGCCTCAATGCCCAAAACCTAAAGTACAATTATTTTTAAGTTGTAAGTTTTTTTTTAAACATTTTTCTATTTAATGTAAAAATAAACTCATACCGAAAATATTTCACAAATATCGTTAGAGAATGTTCTAACAGGATCTACATCCCTTTCACTCAGTACTTTCATCAAACTTGTCCCATCAGTTTCCAAAAGCCAATCAGCAATTGCTTTAAATTCTCCACTTTCTGTAACGATTATTCTCTTCTTTGAATCCGTTTGTGGCAAGTGCATATACACTTTGCTAATTGCTTCAATTCCCTGCAACAAAATGAAATGAGAATAACTTTTGTTACACAATTTAAATATTTTAAAAAAATACATACCTGAAGAGTCATATCAGAAAGCATATTTGCCTCAATACATCTAAGGAACATATCATCTTCCATTTTATCGACACTTTCTTCTTCTTCGTTCATTTTACCATCATCACTGTTCATGATACGTATACGAAGTACAAGTTTCTCAGCATTATCATCATTGAAAATGCAATTCAAATCATCACCAAATCCAGCATTTATCTTTTCAGAAATCTGCTCCATTGTAAGCTTCTTGTCTAAAAATAACCACATATTTTCAATATATTTCCTTTAGATTTTTAATTAAAATATAGTACCAACCTGTCATTCTCTTCCTATCTAATTCTATTCGGAGTAACCAGGGTGAAATTCGTAAAGGGTCAAAATCAGGCATCTCATAATATACATTAACGAATTCCTGATCTTCAGGAATCACTGTATTTTGAGGGTCGGGGTCGTAATAGATGGCCGTGTTTGCAGTCACTTTTCTCAGAGTTGTATGTTCAAGTCGGCAAAGAACATTCTTTGCTTTTTCAGCGTCCCTGGCTGCTGCACCGGTCAAGAATACCGTGAGAGAGGGAGCTTTCGGCTTTTTACTTATGTTAATGATTTCTTTCAATCTAGGTACTCCGAGGGTTACGTTCTTCGATGACACTCCGGCAAAGTGGAAAGTGTTCAGTGTCATCTGAGTGGCCGGTTCGCCCAAACTCTGGGCTGCCAGTGCTCCGACCATCTCTCCTGGTTGGGCCTAAACAATATTCACAATGCATGATATTACAATTCATACTGATAGCCGATTGAAACATACCTGAGCTTGTTTAAATCTGTTTTCAATTTCACCAATTAACCATTCAAAAGCTTCAGATGATAGCCTGAATTTTTCTGATACTAGTTTAGTACATAAAGTGCTCCTTACAAGACACTGAAATAAAAGTGTGGCATTTTCATTTGCCTGTTTGCTAAGATGATCATCTCCGGCCACAATGATACATTTTTGAAGCAGATCACGAACACCTTAAAATGTTAACATCCCTCAATAAAATTTTCTTAAACTACAAAACAAACTGACATACCTTCAATAACTTTCAACGGTGATAGATCAGTGGGAGCTCTGACGTTGATATGAAAGATTTTCTGTACATTCCATATCATTCGCTTCAAATTACACGGGAGCACAACCTTGCTTTCACCAGACGGAAAAATCTGTCTGAGCGCCTCCCTATCGCGACATAGTTGTTCCCATTCCTGCTCTAAAGCTGAAATTACTTCACCACTGCCTAGCAGCTCTCGCAATACATCCTCTGTAAATATTTTTCTCAAGTGCCTGCATAATGAAAAATCATGATTTAAAACTCTTGTCTTTTAAAAAACCACCCAGAAAAATACCTTTCATTTGAAGCATCAAACTTGAACTGATTTTCAAATTTTTTATTAGACAAATCAACAGTTTGGATTTTCTGAAACTCAACAGCTTCGCCGCAAAGGCCATCTTCTCCATAACGCAACTGAATAAGTTGGCCAACAGAGTTACGCACAGTACCATCGTAATGGACCATTACAGACTCCATAGCCTTTATCAAACGTCGCTGGATATAACCTGAAATACAGTGAATAGAAACAATTAATAAAAAAATAAATATAAACCAATAAAATATAAACTATTGTGCACACCAGTTTCTGCAGTTTTTACAGCAGTATCAATAAGACCTTCTCTTCCTCCCATAGCATGGAAAAAGAACTCAGATGGTGTTAACCCGGCAAGATATGAGTTTTCCACAAATCCTCTCGACTCAGGACCATAATCGTCTTTAATGAAGTGAGGCAGGGTTCTCTTCCTAAAGCCAAACGGAATACGCTTACCTTCTACGTTCTGTTGCCCTACACAGGCAATAACCTAAAAGAAAAAATCTGTAGATAAATTTCAATAAAATTTATAATTTCTATTTAAATCAACCTGTGAGATATTAATATTCGATCCTTTAGAGCCAGAAACGACCATAGCCTTCAGGTTGTTGTATTCAGTTAAGGATTTTTTAGCTGAACCACCAGTCTTGTCACGAGCATCGTTCAATATTCTGTTTACCTATAATTGTACTATGTTAAAAACAAAACCTTAATCACAATTATTTTCAAATGTTACGGGGAAAATACCTGATTTTCAAAAGTCTGTCTCAATGTGTTACCAGGTGTAGGTTCAAGGTCCATATTGTGGGCTTTCTGAATAACTTCTATTACATCTTCTTTGGCTTTTTTTATAGCTTTCTGGATTTCGAGATATGTCTGAGGATCAGCAATGGTATCACCGATACCGATTGAGTGACCTGTCGAAAACAAAATTGTTTAATTTCCCCAAAGGATTTACAGAAGCTAGCTTACCTTCTAACAGTAGCCAGTTGTTAACTACTGTTTGGATATTTCCATAAAAAAGGCCACATTCCTCATGGCCAAGTTCTAAGAAACAAATGTGCAATAAAGAACCAGCTGAGGTCCCAAGCGTCTTTTTACATAAAATGCCCATGACTAACTCTCCGTGTTCCACCATTACCTAAAACAAACAAAAAAACTTCAGCAAATTTACACAACACAGTTAAAATTATGAAGCTGAAGATATCAACATATACAATTTAAAACCAGACTCAATACAAAAGTTTGTCTTCTGCATATCACAAATTGAACAAACTTCAGCATAACTGAGGACTTTTTCATAGTTAGCCTTCTGTGAAAACTCCTATACATTGTAATATTAATAAGACTAAAACTAAAAATCCGATGGGCTCCGTTAAAATAATTCTAATTAAATTAACCAAACTCAAGGGAGAAATAATTGGTTATAACAATATTTTTTTAACAAGGATTATCCTTTAAGTTAGGATAATATAATCCCCACAGACTTCGGGCAGAGCTGGTTGAGACCGGAAGGACCTTCTTTTGTAAATGGAGATACATTCTGATACATACTGATACATACTGATCATTTTTATTTTTATTTTATTTTTAATTTTAATACCCATATTTTAAGGGTCATGAGTTGCTCGATGTGAGGGGGATCTGCACAAAGATTGTGATATGGTGCAGTACACCACAATTGGATCAATTGGATACCAAAATGCCAATATATTTAAAGATGATAAAAACAATGCCAGCCAGCCATACTTGATATATTCATAAATCAAAATTTAAAAAAAAGAAAAAAGAATAAACACTGTGTTAAGTCATATTCATCTTTAGGTTTTTTGTTTTTTCTTCTTCCTCGTCCAGTAATTTTTGTTACCAGATATTAAACACCTTTACAAACCTTGGTGTCACCTGGGGAAATCCATTTATAAGGGCCATTATCTTCATCATCTGGATGAGTTGAATGTGTACGTATCATATTTACATTTCCCGGTATAATGAGGGAGAATACTTGTTTACCTGTGAAAATAATTTAGAATGTTTAAAAAAAAATGTCCAAAGGCAAATTTTTATTATGTTATAAAAGTTTTTAAAGTTATTTGAATTTACCAGTCCATAACGGTTTAGGTTTGAGAATAGCAGGAATAGGCATTTTCCCATCCCAAACAGGTAAGTGCATGAGGATGTTCATCATTTGTTCTTTCTCCAAAAAGACATCTCGTTTTGTCATTTTTCTAACAGCGGTGAGTGTGTCTTGTACAATACCCATAACAGGTTTGTTAGCTTGTGGGGTTATAATTTGTCTAGGAGTGACGTGTAGATTTTCAACTTCGGCTCTCGTCTCCATTGATTGTGGTACGTGGAGATTCATTTCATCCCCATCAAAATCTGCATTGTATGGAGAGGTACAACTGAAAGTTTCAAGAGGTTAAACAAAACCCTGATGAACGTGTGACAACAAGTTACCTCAAATTCATACGAAATGTCGACCAGGGAAGCACTTTGACTCTGTGCCCCATCATACTCATTTTGTGAAGGGTTGGCTGACGGTTGAAAATGACTAGATCACCGTCATTGATGTGCCTCTCAACTTTATAGCCGCATTGTAGATGCAAGTCAGAAGGTTTCGGGTGAAAACGAAGATCAATTCGCTCACCGTTGTCACGAACAATGTACTTGGCACCTGGGTAAGTCGTATTTCCCCTCTGGACAAGATTCAACATTCTGAAAAAAAAAATATTTACATTCAAAATTAATGCTAGAATATTTTTTCAACTTCAACATACTTATCAACATTGAATGGTGTGACAATTTCAGGGAATGTCATATTTTGGGCAATAGAACGCGGAACACCGACTTGATCAATCCTTAGATTTGGATCTGGTGTGATTACAGTACGAGCAGAAAAGTCAACTCGCTTGCCCATCAAATTACCTCTAATTCTTCCTTCCTTGCCCTTTAATCGTGCTTTTATGGCTTTTAATGGTTTTCCTGATTTTTGCATTGCCCTGAAAAATTATTTTACTGTAAATTTAACCTTTATAATTATGTAGTTAATGAAATTTAAAATAAATCTTTGTTGACTTTTCATTTCACTGAATGAAAGTAAACATGAAAAATATCTTCCACACCATCAGCACAGAGGCCTTTGGAGACACATTACAAGCCTCCTGATCCTTTCTGGCGTCTGAGTCAGGCCTAAAGGCTCACTCTATGAAACCCAAATGGCATCTGATGAGCTGATAGTGTTAAAGAAAGGCATACCACAATGGAAACTTCTATAAATCTTTATCATTTAGAATTATTTCATCACTGTTCAAGTGGACACGTTGACTGCAGTTATTGACTATGTATCAACATCCCCTCATTCTTTCCACAGTGAGTCACCTTGGCTGATATTCTAAACCATTATTCAGAACAGGACCAGACAGGCCTGCAGTCAACGTGTTAAATGACCTGTTTTATTTGTTCAACAACATTGAAAAATAAGTATAATCATAAAAGTTTAAACATAGAAAAATAAAATACCTTGGTAAACCAGGCATGTCATTATCAACAAGTGTCGCAACATGAAACTGAAGCATTTTAATGTTTTCAGCGAGGACATGGGTGGCAGCTCCTGACTGCTCATTTCTTTGTAGCTCATTGTTACATTTGATTATATCCGCCAGCTTGTGCGTCAAGTCATCCTGATTCCTGGCTGAGCCATACATAACGACAGCAGGACGTACAGAAAGTGGTGGCACGGGAAGTACAGTCACTATCATCCAATCAGGGCGAGCATATTTGGGGTCCATGCCCAGAATGAAACACTCTTCATCGGTGATGTGTTTCAAAATTTCCCACACTCTCTCAGCACTGAGGGCAATTTTTTTCTCTTGTGCATCCTCATTTACGTGTTTCCATTCTGCTGTAACATCCAGCCCTGTGCGCCTTAAATTTGGCTGGTAACGACCACAACCACCATGGCCAGGTTTGCGGTTCTAAAAAGTAAAATTAAACTAGTATAGAATTTGTTTTAAAGAATTATTATACACATCTCAATTATATCATGGCACATATTTCATACTAATTTTCCTAGACTTACACTTTGAGCACTTTCATCCATGTTTTCCTTGCCAATATCCATCTCGTCACCACCTTCGCATATGTTTTTCCCCTTGCAGAGATCGTACACGAATGTCAATCGTTTTCTTGGCTGCCCTTTGGATTTCATAACAATTTCTTTTATTTTGGGGTGGCTCTAAAAACAAATTAAATTTTTATTTTAGGCACAGTTTTTAGATATGGTTTTTTAAATAATTCACTCACCGGACTAACAAGAAGTTTCGAACAGTAAAAACACACACATCGGAGAATTTTTATCGTCTTTGTTATAAAACCGATGTGAAAGACAGGCTTGGCTAGATCAATGTGTCCAAAATGCCCAGGACATTCACTCATATTACCTACAAACAGTATTATTAAATTAGAAAGACAAAAAAAATATATATATACATTTTAATAAAATGTTTAAATATTCCATCTATCTTCATAAAAATATTATACAGTATTTAATATAAATCACACATCAATTATTACAGTTCCAACTTTTTGAACCTAAACTGGAAAATACCAATTGCAGCAGAAGTACAAAGTTACAGCATTCCTTGTTTAACCGAAATCAAATTGGTTTGAATTATTGGTTTGGTGGTTCTCGAAAAATCTACAATCTTTACTTTTCCACCAAATGTGTTCTGATATGCTGCTTTCTGAACATTGAAGATCTCAAATTTTCTAAGCTTGGTTATGAAGTCAGTTGAAGGCTACAATTTCAGATAACGATACTTTAACGGCCCTGGTTTGCTCTGCTGATATTTGTAATTTAAGCACTTGGCATGATCAAAAGGGAAACTAATGAACTTTGGTTTAGGTGGCACAAGGGCTAAAAGCAAGGCACTAATTCCTTTAACTCTCTGAATTTATTGTATTTGGTAAGATACAAATACAGAAACATGGGACCATGACTGCCACGTAGACTTTTGATGCCACGGTTGTGGGTTCACTTTTTCCTATTTGAATTTTTGACCTATCCCCACACCACAAATAACTGATTAAAAAAAGAACTGGATGCTTGGCTAATGTGGTATACATGTTGCAATTGAGAGGGAAGAAATTCTAGCACATGGTAGAATAATAAAATTAATAAAATATAAGTTAATAAATTATATACGTATATGATTGAAATAAGATTTATATTGACTAATTACAATTTTTACAAACCCACCACTGAACCTGGGCGCCTAACACACCACAAAGTCAAAATGTATTGGAATAATGAAAGAGTGAAGAATAGACAGGCCAAAATGATTCATCACACTATAGAACTCAAGAATATATCTAACAATTTAGTTAATATTTCTGTGAAGAAGCACTATTATCACTATCTAGATAATAGAAATAATTTAGAACTTATCAGGAAAAAAGGCTAATGGTACCATTGCACTGAGCATGTTCACAAGTTACATAGGAAATATATTTTAAATCACTGTAAAACATTATTGTAGTACTCCTTTTTGCTATGGAGTCCATAATTAGGAAAATGAACTATGCCTTTCTATCCAGCAATGTTTAATGGTTATTGAATACAGTGCAGAGCCGAAATGTGTTTGAGTGATATCGAAAATCCATTAGTGTTGATAAACCCAGTGGCCTGTTCAACAGTTGTCCACCGACTCACAGACTGAAGGTCGATTCATATCTACCAGCACAAGAATGTGTCCAGCACGTAGCGTGGCAGACACGGCACAGACACTAATATTCATACTATGCTGTAATCACAGCAACAGTCACCTACAGACCAACAAACTATTCTTCAGAAAACCAATGGACAGGATTTTTTCCACGTTTGTGTATTACAAATTATATACAATATATAATATTCTTCTTATTATTTATATTCTTATATATTATTATTATACATATTTTGTAAAATAAAATTTTAAAAAAAATCTTAATATGTACTGATCGGCGATTCGGATTTTAACCCGAATTCGGATTAGCACAAGTTCAGTTTACCAAGACTGGACATTATAATAAAAATTATAATGAAATTTATTGTAGGTGAGCACCTAAGCTATTGGAATTGCACAAATCTTGTCTGTTGTCTATTCATACTAACCGTATTGAACCGCACAGACAAGAAAAGACAACCGCAGACATGTGCCAGCACAAGCATAACATTCTCGGCGACAATGCTGCCCGGTGCTGGTACTTGTCTGCACTGACACGCTCCGCAAACGTTCGCTAAGTATGAACGTTCCTATATGTTTTGTATGTAATGATGTTTTTGTGTCTGCCATGCTATGTGCTGGACCGCTCTGTGCTGGTAGATACGAATCGACCGTAATACTCACATTATTTTTTTTTAAATTATTATTGTGTGGTGATTAGCACAAAATAGCAAAATCTCACTGGCACTCTCGACACGACACGCAAGAATGGCACAATTACACAGAAGACAAACATTTTGAGTGAGTAGAAATACTTTGATTGAATATATAAAATATATTTTGCATTGTATAAATTCACTTTTCCACATCCAAAATGTAATTGTAATATGTAAACAATGTTTGTAAATCCCAGGCCCTGAAGATGATCTCAATAAAGATCGAAACGTTGGCACGATAAAGAAAATGTTTTTCTGAAACCTACATCACACCAGACCGCATCTCACAATTTCTAAATTAATTAGTTATTTTATTATTATTATTTCAATTTGAGGCTATATGAATCCTCAGGGTGCCAGTGTTTTTGAAAAATAAGCCTATTTGTACCATACATTGATGAGTTGCCGTGTCAACACCTTAACCGTTGCAGCCACTGACACTCCGATTGTTTTCCTTACAGAAATATATTTAAAAAATAAGATAAAAGGTTTTATACATAAATCTCTACCTCTTATAACATTGATATTTTTAAAAAATGTTTCGAATACTTACAATAAAAATGTAAATAAGGTTAAACTACATAAAAATAAAAAAAAGACTTAAAAAAATTTAATTTATCAGCAGTAAATAAAATTTATGGATCTCAAGGAGAATGTAAGTATTAAAGGCAATATTATGATTCAGTTTACCTGTTCTAATGTCAGACTTTCAAGGCAAATCATGCGAAAAGAAAATAAGTTTTAAAAAATTTAATGAATTTTTAGTTAAATAACCATCATTCATTGCTTAGTTATTTAATTGAGTAAAAAAGTATTTTGATAATATTCCATTTTAACTTAGTTTTCTATAAAGCCCTTTTCAGATTTTGAATTGAAAACAAAAATTATGTAAAAAGTTTTTAAGTAAAAAAAAGTCTAGCAAGCTTTCCTGCTTCTATGGAATGTGCCAAGTATGTTTTATTTGAGTCGTCTGATTTTGCCAAGTCAAGCATTTAAACTGATATATAAATATTGGAAGAACAATTACTGCAGCCCCTCATGCCAAAATCAGTCATGGCTGGTGTGTTTTTATCACTAGTATAATGCATCCAAATCTGAATACTATTGATCACATACTAAATTAAGTTGTCAATTACAATTCGTATGTGTGAGATGCTCACACAAACAAAGAATTTACACATGCTTGTGTAACATTACTTTTTAGTTATTTCAATAATAAGTGAGAAAAATAAAATCAAAAATTATCAATTTATTATATTTTAATAAAGAAACAATTCTGTCGCAGAATATCCAATATCTATGAACCTCATTTAGCGGTTGATATGGGTGTAAAACAACAAACAAAAAAGATATAGACAAATAATTAACAAATAAATATTTATTTACTTATTTTTAAATATGTACAATAGGAAATTGAAAATTAACAAGTATTTTGAGTAGAGAGAGAGAGCGATTTGAAGATTGACTTTTCTATTGATAGTGGTAAGAAAAAAAATCATGCCAATACAATACATATACTTAATAAATTAAGGCATTTTTTAAAGTATAACCAGATTGCTGTCCCTTCACCTTCATGAAAGTTATACACCTAAACTCTCCAGCCAATTCTGCAGTGGAAGAGAGTGCTCTCACAGCCTCTCCCACCGCAAACACCAGAGTTCCTCAAGGTGGTGTGTGAATCAAGGCTGGTGTAAAATAAAAAAATAATGATAATGATATTAAAAAAAAATACCCTAAACAGTTGAGTAAAGTTCCTATGAAATAAAATAAAAGAGACTATGCGCATGAGTGCGTAGCTTGAATTCCAGTGTGATCAGAGTACACATAAGTGTGAATATTTTGTATTTACATGCCAATCCAAAAGTACTAATTTGCCCCCAATAGAATTTCAAAACTACCCATTACATTAAAATTATATTCAGATATTAAGTTTAAATTGTTTTCAGTTTTTGTTCAAATTTTTGTACAGAATGCCAATCCACGCTTGTTTATTAGTTTTTTCAACTAGCAATAATCGCATTTCAGTAGAACTTCATTGATTACGATATTGCCACTGCACAAGATTATTTATTTTTTGTCATTTAATTAATGCAACTCTACAGAATGATTAAATAATCAACCAGTTCTAATGTATTTTCCATACATTTATCAATTTTGTCAGTCGGATTAATTTGCCCTAACAATTTGTGCCACCTGTCTAAATCTAAAAAATATTAATATTCTATATGAGTACATCAGGTCAAGAAGTGGAAATTATTTTACAAATCAGGCTTTCTGACACAGAGAAGTTTCAGTTCAAATTTTCATTTGTATCATAAATTATGTAGATCAAGACATCATTAGTTGATGCAACATAATTAAACCAATATTCAGTACTTGTGGTGTAAATAAATAAACACAAAAACTTTTCTCCTTAAGGCCCGACCAAACAGAAAAGCAATATTCCATGGCGAGAAGCAATATCTGACCAGGGTGATCTGGTGGTCTAATTATACTACAAAATTAGCATCATTACTATAAAACGGAATGCGACCTATCGCTTCCGGTCTTTGTCATAATGACGATTCAGTTGAACAAAATCTTCCAAATCACAAACAGAAATATTTACGTAATTGGACAGTACTTACAATTATATCAATAATTAGACAGTGGTATTCTTCTAATCTTTATTATTTTTTTATTTATTAATTACATGCACCCAACAGTTTACATTTTCTTTTAATTTTGCAACGATAGTAGCAGGAGTGGTTCATCATCAGAACACATACCCAAAAAGAAAAAAATGTTAAAATGCTCGTATTTCTACAAGGTGTTTTGCTAATTTAAAATGGAGGAAAAAATAGTGCATTTTTGCCATTTAGTTTTTTTTTATTATCGCACAGCAAAACCTGCAGCTCAGACTGATGAAAATTTGTGGTGTGTATAGTGACACTTTAAAAGAAATCACTGTACACAAGTGGTTTGGGCAGTTCAGAAACAGATATTTTGATTTGGAAAATGCAAAGTGCTCTTATTGTCATTCAACCATTGTTGTAGACAAAAATCAAGCTTATGTCACAAAATCCACACTCAATGACATGAGGCATCGCCAGAAACAGTTAACACATTTCATAAGGGAGTTTCAATACATCTAAGTGTGGCTAGATATGTTCGTTGGAGAGCTGTATGGGTTCACTTTTTGTAAATTATAGTTCTACTCAGATTTGTTCTTTACGATCAGGATTTCAAGCATCGCTCATAATCAGCTCAATGACATCAATGTCAAGAGACGTTTGTTACTCCTTCAAACTGATGATGAGCGGTTATGCTTGAAATCTTGATCTATAACTTACAAAAATTATAATTTACATTTTTACTTGAACTATAATTTACAAAAAGCTAATTACACTCACCCCACCTTCATCATTTGTACATGCTATTTGGTTTTGTCACGTGTTGACTGGAAATAATTTATTGGGCAGCATCTTTGCAATTCCCTTTTAAAACTATTTTTAAAAAGATTTATAATGAGGGATGAAAAGTGGGTCCTTTAAATGTTCAAAGAATAAAATCATGGGGGAAATGCAGCAACCCACCGACAATATCTCCAAAAGCCAGATTGCATCTGAAGGAGTTACTGGTGTGCATTTAGTGGGATTGAAAGGGGTATTTTAATATGATTCTTGTCCACCCAACCAAACTGTTAATTATGGTGTGTATTGTTGCAATTGACCAAAAATGACTGGCATTGGTTATTGTAAGGGGATTCTTTTTCATCACTATAACACTCACCCCAAGTGTCTTTAAAGGTATACACTTTAATAATAAAAGATCAAGAGTTATGCCAGCAACTCAAAATTGCTAGAGTGGTAAATGCGAGAAAATGCCTTACCATAACATGTATACCATCCAATATGAATCAGACAGATTACTGAAAGCGACAAAAACCTTTAGGCCACTCATATTCACTGACATTTATCAGACAATAAAAGTCTGGTGATATTTTATTGTAAATAGTTGTAAGAAAAATACTGTGCTTTTTCACACTCATTCCCTCAGGCTGGTAAACTGTTTTATATCCACCGCTAGACTTGTGACTGACAATGTTTTGTTGGCTCCACTTTGCAGTAGTACACTGCTACTAATGGGTCTTTAGATGCTACACGGTTTTCTTGCCAGCTGTGTGGATCTACCAATGAATTTTGACCTTGTCGCCCCCGGCCCTTTTTTCATGGAACCCTTCCCCCCAACAAGTATCTGATGAAATAATCAACAGTATTGTACTCTAACAAATATGCAAGCTCGTAAAGCCTTTAAAAAAATAAATAAACAAAAATGGAAAAATTGAGCCAATAGTAAAATGAACTTAGATTGCATATAGTTTAAGTCCCTAAACAGTGGTTCTCTAGTAGTTTTTCAGTTATCTCATTGTCACAGCTAACGTTTGAATATTGGGCTGGTGCAAAAATAATGCAGGTTTTGAAAAGGAGGTCAAAACTGTTTTTAATTTTTATAAAATAAAGATTTATTCTAAATATTTTCCAACACAATCTATACATCTTTGCCAACGTGTAATAAGCGCTTTTATTCCGCTGACATAAAAATCTTTATTTCAACTAACAATAAAGTCTTGGAATGCGTTTTTGGCTTCACCACATTCTCTAAAAATTTTATCCCTCAAGAAGTGATTCAATTGCCTGAAGAAGTGGAAGTATTTAGGCAAGAGATTGGGTGAATATGGAGGGTGCACTAAGGTTTCATATCCTAAGTTTCTGCAGGGTTGGCATTGTGACATGTGGCCTGGTGTTATCGTAAAGAAGAATCGGCCCCACAAGGCTTATCAATGCTTCATAAAGGTGTTGCAGTTTCCCATGTATTTTGTCAATTTCTTGACAATATTTCTATGCTGGGATAGTTTCACCATAATTCAGGGAAAATTTTTGGGTGCAGATTTGGTTTCAGGAAGTGTTTTCACGCTTCATCCTTGTCCAACCACTGACCTGTACGCTTCCTGTTATCTTCACAATCCTTTTATCATCGCACGTGATGATTCGATCGAGAAATTGATCATTCTGTTGGGGCGACAAGAGACATGCAAATTTCAGTGTCAGTCTTTTTGACATGCAAATTTCAGTCTTGTGAAAAGTGTCAATTTCTTTGGGCATTGGTTAGTTCATGCAGTATATATGTACACTCTGGCTTCTTTACTTTACCTATTTGCTCCATATTACGAACAACGGTTGAGTGGTCAACACTAAGCTCTTCCACAATTTCCTGTGTAGTCTTACGTAAATTTTCTAAAACCAAAGTTTTAAGCTGGTCGTCGCCCACAATGGAAGGCCTACCGCAGACATTCCCTGTCTTAAAGATCTAAATTTCCAGTAAGGCAGTAAAATGTCCAGTGTAAGTGGTCGATACCATGATCGGCTGTTTTATTGTCCAGCAAATAATCCCGAGTGCAAGAGGCCTTAGCCTCGAAATGCTCAACCCTTTTAATTTAAATGTGCAGACAGATCTAAGAAGGGTTGTCTACTTTAAAATTAGTGTTACTTGACAGATGAATTGAAAAAAAAAAACATAGGCCTCTTTTGGTGGAAACAAGAATGAACTTTTCCTTGATTTATTCTCAAAACATTTGGTAAAAACGTTTTGAGTACAAATGCAGGTATAAACTATTTAATTTGGTCGTTTCTGATAATTTTGGTTTACCTATCTTCACTGTATTGGTCAGTCAGATTTAATTCAACTGATCAGAAGTGTTTCAGCTTTTCGCTATATTTAGTGATGGGTTAGTCTAGCTGAACCCATCATTGAAGATGGCAAAAAACTGAAATGTAAGTGTCACAATGATAGAAAAGAGAGGCATGATTGAAAAACCAAACAACACATTCATCACCCTACAGATCACAAGACAGAACTGTATACCTTAATTGATGTGTGATTTATTGTTTATAGATGGAAATAACCCCAGACGAAAAATCATTCTTTCGACAAGATTACCTGCACAAGTCTGACATCTAGAGAGCCTGTCGATGACTCCTTGTCGGGGGTCCATGAGACCTCCGAGCTTCGGACGCCCACCTTCCATCGTCTCTGGGTAGCGGATGCCCCCTTCGGTGACAGACATCCGTCTCTACAACAGTTTATTAAACGTTAAAAACAAAACCTTTCCCCCCTCTCCAGAAAACAATTTGTTCATTTAACATAAACACAATTGATGGTTGGTTAAATTTATTAAACTTTGTTTACAGCCAATTTAAGTTGAAAACATTGACATTTTCATAATTGGCTCGAAAGGTATCGCTGATGAAATAAGAGTGAAAAACGGAAAAACGCTGATGAAGATAAGGACGGTCTTGTAAGTTACAACATAAGGGATCAATGGAAAGTGGTGAAAAATGAGAAAACGGGAAAAACCCTTGGGCCGCCTCCAAGGACTCTAAGTCAAATCGTAACCTGAACGTACAATTTCGTCTGGAGACAGGATCCCAAACTGGACCCGCTTCACTTGGCGAAGCGGGGCTTTCGAGTCGGACATCGCCATCTTGAAGACTGACTCGTCACTGAGACTGAGCCAGGCCGAGTCTGCCCGTTTCGCTTAGAGGACGGCAGGGAAAAACAGAGACGCCGCTGCTAACTGAATCGCCAACTTCGACTTTTGTTCAAATCGACCACTGTTTTGAGCAAATTTCCTTCTCTACAGCTCGTCCTTATATTTGGCGATTGTTACTCGAGAATAACTTAAAATTCCAACGATTTTATATCCCATCTTTTCATATAAAATAGGAAAATTATTACAGCCAATTTGCGCACCATTTATGTTAATTGCGTCTTACAAATAATTCCTGTTTCCAAGCTTCTCATTGGAGCGTCGCGTTGGCGGGGGATTCTGTTTTAAATTCGTGTCAAAAGACGTGGTTGTAAATCCTGATGATGAGCTTTAAGCTTGAAATCCGGATCTATCAAGACAACAAACTGTGAGAAAGAACTCTTAAAAAAGTTTAAAGTTAAAAAAGCAAAACAAATATATACTTTTCCGCAATGCAGTTTAACAAATTTTGAAATTTCTAAACTGCTCAAAAAAGAATAGAGATATTTGTAATTTATTCCTACTATATTAATTTTAATTAAATTAGCCGATAAATTCTTGTCAATTGGATAAAATACATAGATAAAGTACTATAGAAAATACAAACAAATGTTCATCTTCATTTTTAATAAAGGATTTACTTAAGAATAGTAAACAAACACCTTTTCTCCATTTTAATCCAGTTGTATTCTCTTTATCCATGGAAAGATATCATCTTGAACCAGAAGTTCGCAATATTATTGTGAGAATGCGTCATTGAGGTCACCAGCAAGTGGATATCACAGAGGCAGTTGGCGTTTCTGAGTGTGGTGGAGCTTTAGCCCAATTCCGAGGGACTAGAAGTGGACCTCAGTGAGGAAATATTGTCATTGCTGCAAGGCAGAACCTTTTCCATAATGCCCACCAGATGCTAAATGAAGTACAAGATGTTTTCGCAAGGCCATTATCAGCACAAACGACTCATAATTGTTTGTGGGATGTTGGCCTCACATCGTATCTCCCTTTGAGATGACCTGCAGTAACAGCCCACCATCATCAACTCATGAGAATATGGTGCAGTGAGAGCCTAGAAAACACAAATTGGAATGCTTTTATTTTTACTAATGAGTCATGTTTCTGTCTATGTAGTGTGTAGTTGAAGAGTCTACCGAGAACAGGGGATGCGAACATTGCCCTAGTTCGGGCTCCGTCAATGCAGTTTGGAGTAGTTGGTGTAATGGTCTGGGACGGGATTTACACTGGAGTATGACCCAGACTCCATATTGTTGAATCAACCTCACCACAGTTTATGTCCAAGACATTATCCAGGAATACATCCCTCAAACCAGGGAGCTCAATGGCAGGGATTTTCGATTTCTGGATGGCAATGCCAGACCTAATAGAGGCAAAGTTGTTCATCAAGTTTAGAAAACTGAGAATTTCCCATCTGCCTCTTCCCCCATTGTCTCCAGACCTCAGTCCCATTGGGCACATGTGGGATGCGTTGCAAAGAAGACTTTTCGATCACCATCCACAGCCAGTTGACCTGCAACAACTGAGTGCAGTTAGCAACATCTATGTAGTGAAATTCCTTATGAAATTTGTGACAACCTTCCCTTCTTAACAAATTGTGAACAAACAAATGTGCAATATTGAATTTGGATAAAAGTTCTGCAATACTGGCTGTTAAAAACATTTTCTTTGGAAATCTCCTTATTCAAGACATTCTCCTCCAAATCAAATATTTAAGGTGACAAAATATCAGAGAAATTATGATCTGTGTGCCTTGTCATTGCGGCATCCGCATTAACTCCCAAGCTAACTTACCGGTGAAAGGTGCTATTACATCTGGCACCCCTGTACCATCACTTCCATGTGACAATTGGCACCTCACTTGAAGAATATTATATGGAGAGACTAGGAACATGCTTGGTATAAACAAACAGACACTCTGTTGACTCCGTTGAAAGATAGGGATCTCCCACTCAACAGAACAGACGAGAGGAAGTGGTGTTAGCTAGACTGAGGTTAGGCCCCATTCGTTACACACATGGCTTCATCATGGCCAAAAAATCATCCCACTAATACTTGCCATGTAACAATAACAGTTAAACACGTTTAATGGAATGTTACAAGCTTACAAACAATTTAAAAGATATATTGATTGGTTTTTCCACTTGTTTGGATAGATTATACACATTTCTTCAAAAATCTAATATCTAAAATAAAGTCTTCGTGCAGGGGATCCATTGCTTGTCCCATGCAATAACCAATAACAAAAAAATTAATTTATTAACAACATTATTAAATAAAATTAATTGTTTTGGAGCACTGTACAACCACCACTTCTGGCATAATGTTATCGTAATCTTGCTGAAAAATAAAATTCAATCCTAAGCATTATTAGCACTGGTCACAGATTTTTGTTTAGAATATCAATATATACATTCATATTCTATTATACCTTCCTTTAAGTGACATACTCCAGTTGCAGCCATAGAACCCCAAACCATAACTCTCCTTCACTGCATTTAAATGTGAGGTTTTAATTTCATGGCCTCGTTTTTGTTTTTTTTCTACTTTACATTAAAATTATTGAATTTACAATATTATGAAAATAATTTGGCCTTAAAGTTAGAAGGCTAATCAAGCTCATTTTTTGCAAATATCAGCCACTCAGTTTACTTTGCTAATTGCGAATTTGAAATTATCATTTTTTAATGTATTATGTACAGTGTGATGTGTTAACATTGTAATGTAGTAAATTAGCAAGTATTACATGAGCACCTGTTTTTGGATTTTCATGAAAGTTCATAGGATGGCACACTCTTGATGATGCTGAAGTTTTTTGGGCATCCTGATCTAGGTCTATTTGCATACAACCCATCGTCTTATAATTTCTATTCGCAGCCTGAACCTAGACCCAATTTTATTCACAGTTTTGGCATTTTCATGTAAAGATTTCCCCACAGCTTTTGTGGTAAAAAATTAACTGTCTTATTGATCGGCGAATTTTAATTATGGTGAATTGAACTGGTGTGTCACCTTTAGTTAGTGTATAAAGCAGTACTAATCAAATTTGGAAATATAAAATCACATAAAACCATTTTTGTCTGTATTCAGATGGTTAAAACAAAGTGGTATGTAGACTTATTAGACGTAGCAAACAAAAGGTAGACATTTATTACATAACATTATGCTCCTCTTTGATTCTGAATTGATTTTTGAACATAATTTTATCCTCTAAAGATCTTAATATAACAAAAATAAAAACTTTGAGTAGTCCACATTTCTGTTGTATGCAAAAGTGGTGTAAGTCATTTCTTGGTCAATCCTGACTCTTTGCCTGTCATTTGGACATATTCAGACTGACCAACACACAAAGTTGGTAAAATGATGAATCTGTCAGGCTGATCAAATGAGAGATTAAGTAGATCAGGATGACCAAATGTTTGGTAAATTTACCAACAATGTTGAAGAAACAAAAGGCATTAGGGACAGTGTATATTCAGATAGCTTATTACATCTTTTAAGACATTCAAATATGATTATTATAGCCTAAATATTCTTATAAAATCAATAAATCAATTAATACTCTCATTTTGACAAAAAAGATGCCCATCTCTTTAGCATAACTGAAAAATCTCTCTTCCATTTGAGAAGATTATTCGCATTATTCAAATATTTAGGCCACATTTTCATGAAAATCAACAGACTTTAAATGTAAATACACTAAAGGTATGACTAAAAAACATCATTATTTAGATGATTATTCAAATATAATAACTTGTATAACAATTATTGGCTGAATTTCCTTAAAAAATCAGTAAATTCTAATTAATATAATTTCTATGCAAAAAGACACTTAGGGGTGCACATTTTTGCACAATTAAAAAAGATGTCCTCAATATTGTGAAGATTATTCAAACGCATTGCTCCTCAATTCTTGTCTCCGTGCTGGAAGATTTTAAATAAACTGTTACAAGAGATAATTTATCTTGAAATATCCCTATTTTATTATGCTAAAAGAAAATAAATTATAAACCAGCCCCTCAACAAAGCAATTCAATAAATTTTTTCGAACCTTTAACATACACTTACATGTAGACGATATACAAATTTACATTTAGCCAGTTTTCTAGCGACTAAAGGCCATTATCTCCCTTTAAAAGAAGTCCAACCCCTATTTAGGCGATTATTCAAATATGTTTAGCTTAAATCTGTTTGTAAAATCAACATATTTCAATTAATATCCCCTTTTGATTTAAAAAAAAATGCAAATCCCTTTAGTATAACTGAAAATCTCTCTTTCCTTTGAATATTCACACCACTTAATTATTTAGATTTTTTTTTAAATTAACATGTTCTAAATTCAAATTTACAAACTGTGCTATTCACACTAATCCATGTAAGACAATTTATTGACACCAGAACTATTTACATATTTGAGAAAGTAACTTTTCAAAAAAGTATTTTCCAATTTTTCAGCTGTTTGGCAAAGAACTTTTGGTGACAGAAGATGCCTATTAGGTCCTTTTCATTCAATCACCTTTTACATAGATCATTATTACAATTGAAAAAATAATTGATTAAGATGACAAAATGCCAAAAAAAATGTTTGTCGCACAATATCAGATAATAGGCAGTCTGGAGACAATCAAGCCTCACTTGTATAATATCTGTCAATAATAACAATATCAAGATATACAATTCCAGATAATACAGGTCATTATTGTTAATCAATTAAACTCGAATTTTGTCAGTAATTCAATCTGGCTCTGTTGAAAAATCTTTTGAAACAACCATTAATTTGTCATGAAGTTGGGAGTTTCTATGTTTCTGTGACCTAATACCTGATTATTTCACAAACAAACCATTCATTTATCTTCATGAATGTTTGGCCCTACAAAAGTTGATCGTAGGCCTGAATATGTGGCAATTCAAAGTATCATTGTTAGGGATGCATGCAGGATGGGGAAAAAGGTTGAATTTAAATTCATTTACTTTTGAAATGTTTATATCATGAATGTGGGATG